TGTATGCAAAGTTGTTGGAATGTTTGAATGGATATAATAGAAGTGTGTCGTTTTGAACTGAATTTAACTACGCTGTAATCACGTATCGATCGGATCGATGACTGCAGAAAATTTGGACTAATATATCCGCATTGGAGATGGATTACTATTGAAATCCAGCAGGATTTCCGGCGTCCCAAATACCGATGCGTTTTCGACCAACAACCCAAAAAAAGAAAATAATCCCCTGCACATAATTTGCTGTTTAAATGTTAACAAAGTGCTAAGTCGGGAAGATTTAGAGCTGCATCCCCTTTGTTCCATTCATCCTCGTACATTCAACAGGAAAGCAATAGAAGTCCTATATTGATCTTAAATTTACGTTACTGCGATAATTTACGTTGAATGCGAGCAACTTTGTTTTAAAATTAAAACTTCTTCAATGGAAAGTTTCATATTATGCGTGTTTTCCATTTGAAAATTTTAGAGTTTCCCTTCCAATAATCAAGATTTAGGAACAAGATAATAAAGCCATTAAGACTCAAGCGAGAGTTCGGATTAACTCTGCGACCCCGAAAAGTAATTCGACTCGAACGTCCCTCTTATTCTATTTTGTCACACAAAAAAAAAGTTAAGCAGCTAAGATTCTTCCGTATTAAATTCCTTAATTAATTTGGAACTTCCTATTCCAAATAAACTAAATATGTTAATGATGATGAATCTTTCGTTCTAACACTTCACATTTCTATTTTTCAAATCTAACAATTAGGTCCTTCAATCTTCAGTATTTTTGTTAAATGTTAAGACTTGTTAATGTTGCAAAACATTTTAGTTATTTTAAAATAGAAAACTATTTATCACCTATCTTTTGCTTAACTTTAGTTGCATCTAGTTTCATATTAACAATTTGACAATTGTTAATTTTATTATTAAATTATAACTATAACTATTATAACTATAAGAAAAGTATTATATTTATTACAATCACCAATTATTTGTTTAACTTTCGAAACATCATTGACGAATTGAAAATTATTAATTTTGTCATAATTATTACTTATTAAAATCGTCAAAATAAAAATAATATTAAGAGAATTACATTTATTATAACATGATTACCCATCATTTGCTTAACTTTCGAAACATAAAGCTCCATATTAACATTTTGAAAAATGTTAATTTTGTTGTGAAATTAAAACTTGTTAAAAATCGTTAATATATTATCAATGCAATAAAAAACTATATACAACATGATCACACCATCATTTGCTTAACTTCCGTAACATTGTCGATTTGAAAATAACCATAAAAATCCACCAAATCAGGGGATTAACATACAGATCGCTTTCGATTCGATAACGTTATGTGAAAATTCGACAAAACATGTTACGTAAACGTATTCAATATATCCATATATATAAAAAAAACCCTCCGGGGAATATTTTCATTTTGTATAACACATACGAAAATCCAAAGAGTTAAATATGGGGGTTATTTTATAACCCTCCGGTTAAAAAAGGTTTGCATTCAACGCAGAATACAAAAAAAAACTTTATCGGTTATTTTGAAGATAAACAATTCACAATTTTTTTATTTATATTTATTTATCTAACATAAATTTTACTAATTTTGCATTCGAAAATGTATAAATTCATACATGTAAAATTCAATGATTTTTCTAATTTGCAATATTTTTCATTATATTGTAATATTATTTACTTTATTTGAGTTTAAAAAGTGATTTGACATAACTCTATAGGATTTATGTTTTGTAAAAATTATTAATCTTCAAAACTTGAATCAAATTTTCTCAATTTTGCAAAACTAACAAGCCTTAACATAAAACAAAATTGATTAATTATGGTCATAATCTATTAACAAAATATAAATAAAAATT